AGCCCACGCTCATCCACCCGTGCCCGTTTCCCCGGCAGACCACGCCCACGCGGCGCGCGCCAGCCCCGCCCCTCGGCGCTGCTCTCGCGAGATCCGCGGGTGAGGGCGGCGCGAGATGTGCGGCGGCTGTGTGGGCACCGAGTACCCGGAGCGGGTGAGGGGGCGCGGGGGGCACCGGCACCGATCCCGGCACCGATCCCGGCACCGATCCCAGCCCCGGCACCGGCCACAGCCTGTGCTCCCGCCCTAGGGCACCACCTGCCTGGAGGGCGGATCGTTCCTCCTGAACTTCGTGGGATGCGCGCAGTGCGGCCGCCGGGACTTCGTGCTGGTCGGCAACCGGGCCGCGGGTCTGCACGACGGGGAGGAGATCGTCACCTATGACCGTGCGGTGKGGGGCTTGAGGGGGTGGGGGAGCCTTTGAGATCTGGCGCTTGGGGTTCTTGAGAGTTGAGGGGACCTTTGGGGTCTTGGGCTCTTGAGAGCTGAGGGGGACTTTTGGGATTTGGGATCGCTGAGGGTTGGGCGGGGGTCWTGAGGGCTGGGAGGGGTCAAGGGTACGGGAGTGTTGAGTGTTAGAGGCGACCTTGGGTCTTGAGGGTCTTGAGGGATGCTGAGGGCTCTGGGGGACTTTTGGAGTCATGAGCTTGGGGGATCTTGAGGGTTAGAGAGGACTGGAGGGGACCTTTGGGATCTGGGATCTTGAAGGCTGGGGGACATAGGTGGGGACCTTGAAAGTTGAGGCCTGGGGRTAATATTTGGTTTCTGGGTGTTCTGAGGGCTGGGAGGGACCCCTGGGACCTGGGGATTCTCGAGGGCTGGGGCATGATAGGGAGGGCTCAGAGGTCAGAGGAAGGGGAGTCATAAGGGAGGATTAATTTGAGTAGGGAAAATCTGGGGAACAAATATTCRGGGGGCCCCTGGGGGTGGGCATGGTGGATGCCCAGGAAGGAGGCTTCAACTTTTGGGGGAGTGTCAGGGGGCTGAGGGGCATTAAGGGGAGTGAGGTGCTGGGAGGGAATTTTGGGGGCTTGATGCTTTGTGGACTGGGGTGTCTGTGCCCCAGAGGTGAGGGCAGGCACAGAGGGTTGGGGCTTGTCCCAAGAGATTGGGARTGGGAGGATATTCCAGGGACAGTGTCTGTATCCCGTCACCCCACTGTCCACTTCCCCACAGACCTGTGCAAGAACTGCCACCACCTGATCGCACACCATGAGTACACCTTCAGCGTGGTGGATGACTACCAGGTTTGCCTGTTTTCTCCCAAAAGCCCTTCCTGGCTCCTCTGCCTCCAAAATTCCAGACCCACCCTTCCACAGGCTGATTCCTGCTTTTCCTGGGACAGACCCTTGAAGGCTTCAGAGCCACATGCATGTGCTCAGGGCTACCTGGAATCCTTCCAGCACTAGTCCATGCCTTGTGGGGCAATGTGGGTGATGGGAGGGACCCATGACCCCCATTCCTCATTCCTGGCACATCTCCTATGCAGCAAACCCCCCGTGCTGGAAAAAGGGCTCAAGGGAGCTGGTGGGACTGGAAACGAGATCTGCTGGCTCTGATTGCAATCGGGGATCGGGTACCAGATCTGGCTCAGGTTTCCCTGTGGGGGAGCAGGGCTGTGGCAGCCCCCCTTTTTCCAGCCCTCCCCTTTTCCTTCCCCCAGGAATACACCATGCTCTGCCTGCTCTGTGGCCGTGCYGAGGATTCCATCAGCATCCTGCCTGACGACCCTCGCCAGATGACCCCAATGTTCTGATCCCCATGTGTATCCTGGGATGAGCTTCCTGGARCTCTAGGAGATCCCTGGATCCTTGGCACTGCCATCCCTGGGGACCACACAGTCCCTGACATGATTCACTACTCCAAACTTCCAGCCTGRATGTGGCGAATGCCCAACGCCAGATTCTCCCGTGTCTCTGGAGCCTTTTGGCTCCGACCCCAGCTGCAGGGATGGGATGCAGTGCCATGGCTGGAGTCCCCTGTGTGCTGAAGACATAAAGGGGTCCCCACAACCTTTAGGGATCCTAAAGGATTTCTACCCCATCCTGCCTCAGGAGCCCTCATGTGTGGGGAAATAAATGTGACATGTGACAGCTCTGTGGCACAGGCGGGAGTATTTTGGGGATGGGCATCACCCCCTGGAGCTGATGAAGGGTGCTTGGGGCTGATGCAGGGATCAAGGGAACTCTTCCCATCCCAGGAGCTTGTGGAATTCCTCCTTGACCCTTTYCCAGCATTGGAGAGCCCACTGCACTCCCAGTGCTCTCCTATAAACGCTGCAGAAAAAGGACCTGGATCATTTCCCCTTCCTAATGGGCTGGTTGGGGTCACTTCCCCTGCCCTGGGGTGTGTAACCCAGCCCTGCCCTTCTGGGAATTCCATAATCTTGAGGTGGGAAGGAGCTGGGTGTGGGAAATCACTGCCCTGGGGTGGGTGAGGTGCTGCTCTTGGCATCCGGCCCCAGCARCAGCCGCAGGGAGCTGGGTGCAGTCAGCCAGGCACCCACCTATCTCTGAGCCACCGTTTCCTGGATTTGGCACCTCAGGGCTGCTTCCTTCTTCCTGCTCTCCCCCGCAACCCCCAAAAACTGAATGGGTATGGGTATGTTCCCCAAAACCTCACGGATCCAGTTACACTCCCAAAAACCTCAGGGATCCGGGCACGCTCCCTCCGGCTCGTTTATTGTCACCAGCCCGCGCCATCCCAGCGACTCCAACCCTCTGCCCCTATCGAGCCCCCTCCCCGTGGAGGTTTCGGAGGGGGCTGTCACCCTGCAGAGAGCTGGGGCCATCCCGGGGTGACGCTGGAGCCGGGATCACACCGGAGCCAGGATTACTTGGCCAGCTTGAGGAGACGCTGGATGTCGGGTTCCAGCTGGGCTGTGGGCACACGGGGGCTGTAGCGCCGAAACGGTTCCCCCTCGGGCCCCACCAGGAATTTCTCAAAATTCCAGGAGATATCGGAGCGCCGCACAGGGCTCCAGGTGACAAAGCGGGGCTCGGTCATCAGGTGTGCAGCCTCGTCGGCCGGTGCAGGCAGGTGAGCCTTGAGGTAGGCGAACACGGGGTGAGTGTCGCTCCCGTTCACCTGGCACTTCTGGAACAGGGTGAAATTGGGCTCGAAGCCGCCCCCGGGCCGCACGTGCTTCAGGGTGTTGAGGATCTCCTCGTTGCTACCGTTCTCCTGTGGCGGGGAAGGAGAAATCCAGAGCCCTGTGTTTCCCAGCTCTTCACCCGCCCCGGTGCCCACAGGACTTACCTGGTATCCAAACTGGTTACAGGGGAAGCCCAGCACAACCAGCCGCCGGGGGTAACGGGCTTGGAGCTGGTTGAGCTGGGTGTAATCCCGCACCGTGGTGCCTCAGAGTGACGCCACATTCTCGATCAGGACCACGCGGCCCCGGAAAACACCAAAATCCACCCTTTCCCCCTGCAAGGAGGTGGCGGTCAGGTCGTAGAAGGACTTGGCGATGGGGACGGTCATGGCTGCGGGCGCGTGGCTGTCTGTGCCCCGTACCCCGTGCCGCCTCTTAAGGGCTTCCCGGTGCTCACGTCACGGTCCAAAGGTCTCCAGGCCCCGCCACAGCTTGGGAGAAACCGGAGCTGCCTGTCCCACCCACATGGAAGGAGGAAGGTGGCACAGAGCCAAGGTGATGCTCTACCTGCCTCAATAATTCATGGCACGGCGCGGTGCGGCTGCTCATCCCAGTGCCTGTGGGATGTGGGATGCTCCTGGCCTGGCACAGCGTGTTCCCGAGGGTTGGGAATGCCGGTGAGAGTTGGGGAATAACGGGAATCGGGGAATWACAGGAATCTGGGAGCTGGGGCTCTGTGGGGCACAGGAGGAGGGCACAAATGCCACCGTGCTCCTCCTTGCCTGGTGCTGCCATGGCATCACYTCAGGGGCCTCCTGTCCTGCTCATCCCAGTGTTCACCAGTCTYAGGGCCCACTGGTCCCAGTGCCACCACCACCCGCCTTGGACTGATGTGCTGTGGTGCCCAACAGCACTGGCCCATTCCATTGCCTGGCAGCATCCTGGTGTCCACCTAGATCCCAGTGGGTTCCATTGTCTCGGTGCCCACCATCATCGCAGTAACCACCCATCCCAGCTCTCCGCCATCCCACTGCCAACCCATCCCAGTGCCACCACCAAGCTTTCCAGCTCTGTCCCCACAGCTGGGGCTGAGCTGGTAGCCYGGTGGGCCATGGTGGTAGCCGTGGCACCCCACGGGCACTGTGCCCCATGTCCCTTTGGCCAGCCTGGAAAGGGGACACCATCCCAGCAGCCCCAGATCACCCTCAATTATTGATCACTGCTCGGGTGTCCGTGCCCGGGCTGTGCCCGCCGCCGTGGCATCGTGCCTGCAGCCGCCCCGGAGCACACGGAMCACCAGCCCCTCCAGCATCACCTTTATTCTGCAAACCACTGTGTAAAACCAAGGGTCCCATAGGCGTGGGGCGGGCATGCGGTGGGCACACGGTGCCTGGACAGCCCCCACCCCACCTGCAAATCAAGGGGGCACGGGTGCCAGGATGGGGGCCCCCCTTGCCACCTCCCCATTCCTTCTGTCCCTCAGGGTGTCCCGTGTTGCCCCCCACTCCATGGGGGCTGCCCGAATCCTGCCCCCACCATGTYCCCCAACACAGCCTGGGGAGGAGGGGTCAGGGGGGTCCCAGCCTTCAACACCAGCAGGTTTTGGGGGTGTCCTCGCTCCCCAGGGGCTGCTGCTCATCCTCCTCCAGCCGGGCCAGGGTGGGAGCACGGGGGAGCCCTCGCAGCTCATCCAACTCCTTGCGGTGTGCCTGCAGCACCAGCTCCGTCAGCCGTGTGAAGGACTGTGGGAAAYGGCTAGGGTGAACCTGGGAGACCCCCCCAGTATCCCCTGGCCCCTCCAGGCTCCTCAGGCCAACCCCAGAACACCCACCAGAACCCCACCACACCCCCTCCCAGGCCCCTCATACCTCCTTGATGTTGAGGTTGCTGCAGGCACTGGTCTCGTAGAAATCCATCCCGTATTCCCTGGCCAGCTGCGGCACCAGGGTTTTGGCAGAGAGGGCAGCATGATTCGGGGGGGGGGGCGGGGATTTACTACCCTGGCCCCCCTCTCTGGAATGTACATAGCCGGGCATGGACAGACAGGAGAACTACAGGGGTGCTGCCCGAGGGGCACATGTGGGGTTTGGCATTGGGTGCAGGGGGCTCTGGGAGGGGCACTGGGTGCTTTGGGGTCCAGAGGTCACTGGAAGGGATAYTGGGGTGCTTTAGGGGCACAGGGGAACATGACTGAGGTGCAGGGAGGGGTTGGGGGTCCTTGGACATTCTGGGTGGTAAAGGCGTCTCCGGGATGTTCTGGGCGCTGCAAGGGGGATCAGTGATCCCTGGGTTCAAACTGCAGGAGCATGGTGGGGTCCCTGGATTCAGGTAGAGATGTTTGGGAGTCCCTGGATACAAGTAGGGCTGCAAGAAGGCTACTGGGGTCCATGCGGAATGCAGGGGGGGGCCGTGGAGGGTCTGGCCATGCTGGGGTTGCAGGKGGTGCACTGGGTGCTTTGGAGTCCAGAGGTCCTGGGAGGGGGACACCAGGAAAGTCACTGTGTTCTTCAGGGGTRTAGGAGAGCACGCTGGAGGTGCAGGGAGGGGTTGGGGGTCCARGAACATTTTGTGGATGTGGAAGAGGGAACCTTGGGGATGCACAACCACTGCAAGGGAGGGGTGAAGAGTGTTCTTGGGGTGCCTGGGTACAAACTGCGAGAGGGTCAGGAGTCTCTGGTCATGCTGGCAGGGGCTGGGGATGCTTGGGGGTCCTGGAGAGAGGCAGGGCTGCAGGAGGGCTRTTGGGGTCCCAAGTGCAGGGAGGGATCAGGGAGAGGCTGGCCATGCTGGGGGTGCAGGAGGGGTCTTGCCCCCTGGGGGGGGCACACAGCAGCCCCCGCTCACCTGCAGCCCTTGCTCTTTGGGCACTTGCCTCTTGTGCTCCTCGTCCGCCTTGTTCCCGATGAGAATTTTCTGGACACCGTCAGGTGCGTACTGAGGTGGGGACAGCATGAGGATCCCCCACACACAGGGCTGGGGGACCTCCCGACTTCCCCTCGTGTGCCCCCACCTCATCCACRTCACTGGCCCACTTCACGATGTGCTGGTAGGAGCGCTCACTGCTGATGTCGTACACCAGGAAGATGCCCTGTGAGGGGGTGGGGTGGCAGCTGCTGACACTCYGAAACTGTGCCTCAGTTTCCCCTCTCCTGCGCAGCAGAGCAGGAAGCTCTCCGTACCTGTGCCCGCCGATAGTACTGTTTGGTGATGGTCTGGTATCGCTCCTGGCCGGCTGTGTCCCTGCCCGGGGACAGCGGGTCAGTGCCACCACCCATGGCACGAGCTGGGCACATGCTCAGCCCCCACCCTGCATGGGGGGAGTGGAACACAGACCCCCCAAAATTCCTCCCCCGTCTCACCCCAGGGTCCGGTGCTGCCACTCACCAGATCTGTATCCGCACCTTGATCCCATCCACCTCGATGGTCTTCATCTTGAAGTCGACGCCTGGGATTGGAATGGGAGAGCTTGTGGGGTGTCCTGGTGTTCYCCTCTGCAGGAGTTGCTGTCACTGGGGGTCCTCTGGTCCCCTCACCCTTCCTCACCCACCCCACGCCTSCCATGCAGTGCCTGGCCTGGCAGGACGCTCCAGTGTTGGATGGTGATCTTGGTGCTCCCAGTTCCCTGGTGCTGTGGCTGTCCAGTGCTCCCAGTTCCTCAATGCTGTGACTTCCCGGTGCTCTGGCTGCCCACTGCTCCCAGCTCCCGGCTGCACGCTGCTCCCGGTTCCCCCGTGCCAGAGGTGCCTGGTGCTCCCGGTTTCCCCATGCCCATGATTTCCCAGCTCCTTGATGCTCCCGATTCCCTGGAGCCACRGCTCACCGGAGCCCCCGGTTTCCCAGCTCCCCGTGCTGCAGCTGCCCGGTGCTCTCGGCTTCCCGGTGCCCATGATTTTACCGTTTCTCGGTTCCYTGGTGCTGCGACTCCCGATGCTCCCGGTTCCCCAGTGCCACAGTTTTCCTTTTCCCTTGAGCCCACGATTTTCCCTCTCCCTAGTGCCCACGGTCTTCCCGTTCTCTGTTTACCTGYTCCTGCTGTCCCTGGTGTTGCAGCTCTCCACGGTTAACCCTTTCCCGGTTTTCCCGTACCCACCGTTGCCCGGTTGCCCGGTGCCCACCACTCCCGGGTGCCCCGGTTTCCCGTTTCCCCGATCGTGTGTCTTCCCAGTTCCTCAGTAGCCCAGGTTTCCCGGTGCCCACGGTTTTCTTGTTCCCTGGTTTCCCGTTTCTCGGTTGCTGCGGCTTCCCGGTACTCACGGTTCCCTGGCGCCCACGGCWYCCCAGTTCCCCGGTTTCCCTTTTCCCCGGTACTGCGGCTCTCAAAGCTCCCGTTTACCCGGTGCTGCACCTCCCCATTGCTCCCGATTCCTGGATGCTCCCGGTTTCCCGTTTCCCCGGTGCCGCGGCTCCCCGTTTCCTCGGTGTTCCCGGTTCTCTGGTTTCTCGTTTCCACGGTGCTGCGGCTCCCAGTCCTCCCGGCTGCCCGGTTCCCCGATGCTCCCGTTTCCCCGGGGCTGCGTCTCCCCACTTCTCCCGCTTCCCCGATGCTCCCGGTTCCCCCGTTCCCCCGCTCCCGCCGTGCGCTGCCGGTGCCGGTACCGATGGTGGAGATGTGGGCGGGGTGGAACTGGTTGTCGGTGAATCGGCAGAGCAGGCAGGTCTTGCCCACGCCCGAGTCCCCGAGCAGCAGCAACCGGAACAGCACGTCGTACTGCTTGGCCATGGCGGGCCCGGGCCGCCGCCGCCGCCGCCGCACCGGGGCCGCGAGCTGCGCCGCCGCCGCGCCGGGCCGGGCTGGCACCAGGGGATGCACCGGGGCGGGGCGGGGCGGGGGCGGCGGCGACGGGAGGGGACACTGGGAGCGGGGGAAACGAGAAGGCACCGGGGAGGCACCAGGGATGCACCGGGAGATGCTGTGGGGAATTGGGCGGCGATAGCGGCGATGCACCGAGAGGGGAGCAGGGGAGAGCAGGGGGATGGAGCCAGGAATGCACCGCAGGACACGTCGGGGATGCTCTGGAAAACGGGAGGTGGGAGAGAGGGGATGGACTGGGGCACTGGGGACCCCAGGGGTTCTGGCATCACCAGGGATGCATTAGAGATTGCTCGGGGAGCATTGAGAAGGGGACAGAGGGGTGCAACAGGGGACACTGGTGACACTTCGGGGAGATGGGATGGCACCCGGGGGGGACTGGACAAGGGTGGGCCCGTGGGAAAGTCCTGGGAGTCAACAGGGCCAAGGGCAGGGTGGGCACCTGGGTCAGGACAGCTCCTGAGATCAATGCAGGATGCGGGGGATGGGATGGAGAGCAGCCCAGAGGAGAGGAATTTGGGGGTACTGGGGAATGAGAGGCTGGATATGAGTTGGCAATGTGTGCTGGCAGCCCTGGAAAGCCGCCCGTGTCCTGGGCAGGGAGGGTAGCAGGTGAGGGGGTGATGCCTTAGGATTTTTAGTTTCTGTATTTTCGTGCATGTGTATTCTTGTACTTCTCTTGTACAGAGCTAAGCTYCTGCTCTCCCATCTTTAGACAAAAAAAATCCCTCTCTGAGCCTGAATCCAAGGAAACCTCATTGCCTCAGAGCCCCAAAATATGTAAAGAGCGAGTTGAGGGGGAGCAAGTTTGGGGTGGTTGACGTAATGACCTGRAGATATCATTGGAGAATTGAGGCCCAATATGTTAATAAGGCAGAACTTGTAGAAGGTGGAGATCTCGTAACTTGGTGTCCATTTTGGTTATAGCCTCAGGAGAAGGCTTTTGTCTGCYCTAATGTACCAGCAGGCCTGTTAGGCCTGGATTAAAGTTGTCTATTCTCATTTTCTTAAGTTTGTCTGGCCTCTGTTTCAGGTGAGCCTGATTTTCAGGCTACAGCGGGGATTGTCCTCCTGTGCCCTGTTCAGGTGAGACTCCACCTGAGCACTGTGTCCAGCCCTGGAGTCCTTGTCACGGGAAGGACATGGAGCTGCTGGAGCAGGCCCAGAGGAGACCACAGAAATGCTCCGAGGGCTAAGAACAGGATGGGAGAGCTGGGATTGCCGGGGCTGGAGAAAGCTCCAGGAAGAGCTTAGAGCCCTTTCCAGTGCCTCAAGCAGCTCCAAGAGAGGTGGAGAAAGACTTTGGACAATGTATGTAAGACAAGTAATGACTCCAAAGTGGAAAAGGGGAAGTTTTCTGCCTGGATATTGGGCAGAGARAGTGGTGAGGCACTGAAAAGGATTTCCCAGAGCAGCTGCAGYTGCCCCATCCCTGGCAGTGTCCAAGGCCAGGCTGGACGGTGCCTGGAGCCGCCTGGGACAGTGGCAGGTGTCCCYGCTATGGCACGGGATGGCTTTTAGGGTCCTTTCCAACCCAGCCCGCGGCGTTCACGATGATGTCAMCCATGACGTCACACCGCGATGACGCAGCGCGCCCCGGGGCGGTGCCTCCGCGCATGCGCTCCGGGGCAGGGGCGTGGCCGAGCGCAGAAAGAGGCGTGGTCAGGAGGGGCGTGGCCGTGCGTGATGGGTGTGGTCAGGCGGGGCGTGACCGTGCGTGTGGGCGTGGCCAGGCGGGGCGTGGCCGTGTGTGGTGGGCGTGGCCAGGCGCGCCGCCGCGCGTCCCCTCCCGGCCGCCGTCGCCCGCTGCCCCCGCGGCCGCAGCATGGCGGGAGCGGCCCCCGGCAGTGGCGGGCGGCGGCGGCTGCGGGACGACGGGCTGCGGACCTGCACCTCGGCCGAGCAGGTGCAGGGGGTGCCGGGGGGGCTGCGGTGTGGGGTGCCGGGGTGCCGTGCGGCTGCGATTTGGGGTGCCGGGCTAACGTGGGGCTGCGCTTTGGGGTGCTCTGGGATGGGGCTCAGGCGTGCTGGGGGACGGCGTGGTTCCTGTCCCGGTATCCGCACGGGATTACTGTCCCCACACCCCTGTCGCAGCAGCCGAGGAGCGGTCGGTGTTTTGGGGGGCCCGGGGGTGCTGCCGCCCACCAGCTCCCGCGGGACGCGTCTCCCAGAAACGGTCTGGGGAGGGTGAGTGGTCCCGGGGCAGCCAGACTCTGCTCTCCGTCCCTCTATGCTGACCCAGCCCCTGGCAGCTCCCCTGGGTGCGGGGACGGGGTAAAAAGTGACTCTGGGTTTCCCAATCCGTGGGGCTCTTGCTCTGTTCCTCCCTGCAGGACACGGTGCCATGAATGCAGATCCCCGCGCTGCCCCTCCTTGCCCCTGAGGCTCATCCCGGGTATTTCCTTGAGGATTACCCTGGCTTAGAGTATCCAAGTCCTCGRTTATAGCAGCGTGAGCGGGAGGAGGGTGTTTTCCGTGGTAGTCCTGGGATGAACCAAACTCCCGCTGGATTTATAAAGCAGCACTGGATGGTGCTGGATTCTGGCACGATTCGGGGAACAAAGCTCCTGGGAATTCCTACTTTGGTTTTACTGGATGAGACGGGGCTGTGATTCAGATAAAACCCTGGGATAAGGCAGAAGCTGTGGAGCTCAGTGGAGGTCGTGTTTGGAATGTGCTTCCCAGAGCTCACCGTAGTCTTTATTCCCATTTTTCCTGACAAGTCCAAGGTGGAGGACATCGTGCAGGAGGTCTATGATGCCTACAAGACAAACCATCACTCCTCACAGTGAGTCCCCAAATTCCCAATAACCACAAATAACTCCCATCCCAAAAAAGCCATCGACCCCGGGGGGTGCTGTGGTAGGATCTTKCCCCTTGTGCCACTGTCCCTGTGCTTTTTCAGGCCACCCTGCGTGCTCATCCTGTTCTCTCTGCGTTCCAGGTACATCCTGCAGCGCGAGAAGCACTTCCATTACCTGAAGAGAGGCCTCCGGCAGCTCACTGAAGCCTATGAGGTACTGGGAATGCYGGATATCCCACCTGGAGCCCCTGGCTGGGGTTGTTTGTCACCAGGGATTTGCCAGCCCCAGAGTGGCCACGGCGTTCCCTGTGTGTCACCACTTATCCCACGGTGATGCTCTGGGGATTCTCCTGCCTGTTCCCTCACTGCCGCCTGCTCCCGCCGTGTCTGGTGCCATTCCCTGACTGTCCCTTTTGTCCCCGCAGTGTCTGGATGCCAGCCGCCCCTGGCTCTGCTACTGGATCCTGCACAGCCTGGAGCTGCTGGATGAGCCCATTCCAGAGTCGGTGGCCTCTGAGTAAGTGGGGAGAGCTGGGGGGACCCCACCATGGCCGTTYTCCCCGCGGGCCACCCGCATGACTCCAGAGGTGCCACCTCCCGCTGTCCCCAGAGCAAAGGAGCGCTTTGTCTCCCTGCCACCGTCAATGCCGCCCATTCTTCCGGCGGCTCCCTCGTGACGACGGAGATGGGAGGGTGACACCCCCGGCTTCGACCTCGGGGGGATTCACGAGGCAGGGAGGGGACATATCTCCCTGCCGGGGTGACACAGGTGACAGCGAGCCACTTCGCTACGTTCCCGCAGTGTCTGCCAATTCCTGAGGCGTTGCCAGAGCCCCCAGGGTGGATTTGGGGGGGGTCCTGGCCAGCACCCCCACCTCGCCCCCACCTATGCCGCYGTCAACGCGCTCTGCATCATCGGCACCGAGGAGGCCTTCGACGTCATAGACAGGTGCGGGGCTCTGGGGGGAGCTGGGGGGGAGCTGGAGGGGGTGTGTATCCCTCCTCACAGCCACTGCCTCCTGCAGGAAGAAGCTCTTGGAATATCTGCACTCGCTGAARCAGCCGGATGGCTCCTTCCTCATGCACGTGGGTGGAGAGGTGGATGTCAGGTGGGTGAGGGCTGCAGTGGGGGGCAGCGGGGCATTTTTGGGGAGCCAGTGCTGGGAGCAGGTGCTATGGTAGGGAGTTGGTGCCATTCTGGGGATTCAGTGCTGGGAGCTGGTGATGCTTTTGAGTGCTGCTGTCATTTTGGGGAGCTTGTGCTGTGGTGGGGAGCCACTGTCAATGAGGGGTATGATTTTTTGGGGAGCCAGTGCTGTTTTGGGGTGCTGGTGCCATGGCAGGGGAACAGTGCTGGGTGCCGTTCTGGGGAGCTGGAGCTGYGGCGGGGAGCTGGTGCCTCTTTGGGGTGCCAGTGCCACATCCCTGAGCACCCATCTCCCGAMCCTCTGAGCACCCTTTTCCTGCAGGAGCGCCTACTGCGCCGCCTCGGTGGCCTCACTGACCAACATCCTGACGCCTGCGCTCTTCGCTGGGACAGCTGAGTGGATCGTCAGGTGAGATCTGGGGACCGGTGGCGGACGGGGGATGGCATTTCAGGGTGTCCCTGCCGCCCTGACCTCGCTCCCGCAGGTGCCAGAACTGGGAGGGCGGGATCGGCGGCGTGCCAGGCATGGAGGCGCACGGTGGCTACACCTTCTGCGGCGTGGCTGCGCTGGTCATCCTCAAGCAGGAGCACCGGCTGAACCTCCGCAGCCTGCTGGTGAGTGAGCCCTCGCCGGGATGCTGGGGGTCTTCTCCTGTCGGGGATCTCCAGTCCTACACTGGCTCCCATCACCCCGCAGCACTGGGTGACCGGGCGGCAGATGCGCTTCGAGGGCGGATTCCAGGGCCGCTGCAACAAGCTGGTGGATGGGTGCTACTCCTTTTGGCAAGCCGGGCTCCTCCCCCTGCTCCATCGGGCACTCCATGCCAGGGGTGAGTTGCCGTGGGCTCCTCTGTCCCCCCAGAATGGCATCTGCAGGGATCTGACACCTTCACTGATGTTTCTCCTCTGTGTATCCCTTGCAGGTGATCCGGCGCTGAGCATGGCACACTGGATGTTTGACCAGCTGGCGCTGCAGGAATACATCCTCCTGTGCTGCCAGTGCCCGGCCGGCGGGCTGCTGGATAAGCCAGGAAAGTGAGTGCAGTGGGGAACACCGGGGCTGCCCAGCACCCCAGATCCCCCCTCAGCATCCCAATATCTCCCTGCATGCAGATCCCGAGATTTCTACCACACCTGCTACTGCCTGAGCGGGCTGGCCATTGCCCAGCACTTCGGAAGTGGAGACCTCCACAATGAGGTGGTCCTGGGTATCCCTGAGAATTGCCTGGTAAGTGCTGGGCATTTCTGGGGTGCTCAGGGATGAGCTTCTAGGGCTCCACAGCACTGAGAAAGGCAGATACAGTGGCAGTGGGGAATTGGGGTTCGGTCTGGAGAAGGCTCTGAGGAGCTTAAAGCTGCTTGGAGGGYGTAAAGAGCTACAAGAGGGCTGGAGTCGGGCTTTAGACATGGGCTTGGAGTGATGAGGGGGAATGGCCCCAAACTGGAAAAGGGGAAATTTASATGGAATRTTGGAAAGAAATTATTCCCTGGGAGGCTGGTGWGGCCCTGGCACAGGTTGCCCAGAGAAGCTGTGGCTRCCCCATCCCTGAAGTGTTCCACGCCASGTTGGACGGGGTTTGRAACAGCCTGGTATAGTGGAGAATYCCCTGTGCACAATGYRTTGGACTAGATGATCCTTAAAGTGYCTTCCCACCCAAGCCATTCCAGGAGTTTGTGATTAACACCCTCCATCCYTCTCTCCCACAGCAGGCCACACACCCTGTGTACAACATCGCCCCGGAGAAGGTGGCGAGGGCGGTGATGCAYTTCCTGCAGTATCCCGTGCCCAGCCTGGATCCAGCATCTGCTGCCGAGTAGGGGRTTCCTGCTGCTGGCTCGGGGTGGCAAGCCCTGGGAGCTCAGGGTGCTAGCAATACCAAAATCCAGCCTGCTCCAGGCCCCGTGTCCCACTGCTGTCCTGGCCACAGCCGAGGCAGGACAGGGGCTGTGGCAGAGCTTTTTGGCATCAATAAATCACAAGTGACACCCGCCGTGTGCCAGTGGCCCCGGGGAYGTGGGGCAGGAGGTGATGCCACCCCTGGCTGTGGTGGCACCGCTTCCCCCATTCCAAGAACACACGGTAACCACAGGGGAGGATAAAATAAGTGGAATTTTGGCTTTTTTTGTTTATTATTTATAGTCTTATAGTAAAGGGAAGCCTTAACTTGCAAGACAACTCTGGGCAGTATGTACAACATACCTTAGATCCATGGAATGGCATCAAAATGGGGGGAAAAGGGGCACCTACGGGGCAGGGACGGGCCACTGGAGTTTGGAAAATGCCATGGAGGTGGGGAAGGGTCAAGGGGAGGGAAGGAGGAGGAGGAGGAGGAGAAGGGGGGAAGGAGCCCCCAAGCCTGGCTCTGTGCTCTGCCAACTCGGGCAGGTGGAGTTGCACACGGAGAAAATAAATACGGAGACCCCCCTCCCAGTGCTTGCTCCTTTTTTGGGGGGGGCTGCCCGGCTCCTCCCCGCTCCGGACTGCGCTGGTCCCCGGGTATAAATAGAAATGCTCTTAAAAAACCGGGAGGGAAGGGGAGGGGAGTCGCTAGCAGAGGGGAGTCAGTGGGGGAGTCTCCCTGACCCCCCCAAGTCTTTCTGCTCGGCCTGGCCGGCTTCCCCCAAGGCCAGCGCAGTGGGAGCAGGGAAGAGGCCAGGGAGGGCTGGGAAGCTGCAGTCCAAGAGCTTCTAGCAGCGGAGGGAGCGAGTCCTGCTGCGGGCCAGGGGGCGGCRGGAGGGGCCTAGCTGGCCTCCATGCGCAGCTTCTTCCTGTTCTGCGGCTCGTCAGGCTCCGAGTCGGAGCTGGAGTCGGAGCCGCCGTCGAAGGCGGAGATGGTGCTGCCCTTGGGGTTGGTGTAGAGGCTGTTGTCCGTGGGATAGCTGGCCTGGAGCTGGGCGCTGGATCGGGCCTTYTCCAGTGCACGCACTGCCAAGAGAGATGGCACCGTGTCACCCCCGGGGCCCAGCCCTGCCTGCAGCCCAGCTCCCACCACATCCTGGACCCCAAACWCTTCTGGACCCCACATCCTGCCAGACCTCAGCTTACACCAGATCCTGCACCCTGCCAGACCTCAGCTCTTGCCAGATCTCAACTCACACTAGATCTCAGCTCCCACCTGATCCTGGATTCTGATGGATCCCATCTCCTTCCAGCCCTCAGCTCCCACTGGATCTCAGATCACAAACCCTGCTGGACCCTGGCTCCTGAACCCTGCCAGAGYCCAGCTCCCGAGTCCCAGACCCTGCCAGCCCCCATGTCCAGCCAGATCCCAGCTCCCACCTTGCTGCTCCAGCAGCGCGTTCTGCCGCTTGAGGTCGTCGATGTCCTGCTGGTGCGTGTGGTTTTTCCGGCGCATGTACTGGATGTACTCTGTGGCTTTGTCCAGGATTTGGGCCCGGGATGCCTGTTGCAATAGTGGGAAAAGCCAGAGGCGAGATAAAGACCTAGTCCAGGGGRGAAAACCAGGATTTCACCTGCTTCATCCCACCCTGGCTCTGATCCTCRCTCGGGACTCCTGTGGCACAGGAGAACCTGGGGAATGTCCCAAACCAAGAAGCCTGGACCACGGGTGGGTGCTSCCCATGCTGCCAGCACGCTCCATAAATTCACCTTCTCTCCCTGGAGCGAGGGCACAGAATCCCGCAGGCTGTGGAAGCTGTCCTTGATGTGGTCCCTGCGCTTGCGCTCCAGCGCGTTGTGATGAGCCCGTTTGTCGGCCTGGGAGGGGGGGACAGGGGTGGCACCGGGGGGAGGCCACCACCTGCACCCCTAAAATTCTCCCTGGGAACTGCTGTAGGAGCTCGGCAGAACCTCCAGGGTGGCTCCGTGGCCCGTGATGCCTCCGGCTCGGCCGCGAGGGCGTGGGAAGGAGGCGGCTCCCGGTACTTTCGGTTTCCCCGGCTTCCTGCTGCCGGGGCAGCTCCGGGCCCCGGGAGGGCAAAGCATTTCCCTCCTGGAACACGGGCACCACCTCCTTCCCCGCCCCCCAAACCAACCAGGCACAAACCCCGCTCTGCCCTCTGTCATCCCCGTGCTGGATCCCCCCAAACACAGCCCCACGCCCCCCCAATGACACAGCCCCACACATGATGCCCCCCTCCAACACCCATGTTTTACCCCAAAAAGCCTCTCACTCCCCCTCCCCTAAAGAGCCCCGGATCCTCCTCCACAAGAATCCAAGCCCCATTGGTGAGCCCCCGTAAGACCCCCAGCCCCACAGGACACCCCCAAACACAGAGCCCCCCCTAAAAAAACTGCTCCATGGATCRCCTTCTGTGCCACAGCTCCCAACCCAAATAAGACCCCCGACCCCACAGATRTCCCCTCCCCAAGCCCACCACTCCTCCCAAAAGACCCCGTGCCCTACTGGTGCCCCCCCCCCAATACTCCCATACCCACAAGACACCACCAAAAACAGATTCCCCCCATAAGACCCCAGCCCCATGGATCCCTCTCCATGCCCCCCCACAGACCCACAGAAGCCCCCCCAAGTAGACCCCAGCCTCAAAGGTGTGTCCCCTTCAAAAAAATAACCCCAACCCCACCGGTGCCCCC